TGCTGGCTGTACATTATAATCATCAACATTGTTAGAGCTGTAAGAGTTTCCTATATGCTGGCTGTACATTATAATCATCAACATTGTTAGAGCTGTAAGAGTTTCCTATATGCTGGCTGTACATTATAATCATCAACATTGTTAGAGCTGTAAGAGTTTCCTATATGCTGGCTGTACATTATAATCTGAGAAGAGACATCCATTTTTGTTGTTGTTTTCAATAGTTGCACAGGGTTATCTCTGCTAGCCATCCCTAAATTTGAACTGATAGACTAAAGGAAAAGCAGGTACTAAATAGCATCCAATTCCGATTCTTGGGCTACTCTAATTGAATATTGGGATTTGACCGTCACTCTTATAATATACTCACAGCTCCAAAATAAAGAACATTATTATTATTTTTACTTTTCTGTAATAATACAACCATGGACCTTTGGATCCACAGTCTGGCATGGAAGCCACTAGATCATTCCCAGCCCTTATATTATCTTTAACTGACTTGTTTACATAAGTAAGAAATGTCCAATGATGACCTCATCTGTTACATGTTGAACTATGATATAGGCACTTCTTCCCATTACAAAGAAACCAGTTAAATCAAATATCAATAGTCAACAAGAACTAAAACCAAACTATTTTCAGTACCAAAGAAGTGACAACACTTTCACAGATAGGGGTCAGGGTGGAGCTTAATAATCTACAAAATATGTCAAAACTTGTTATATTTCTGTAACTTTTCAAAGGGACAATATGTTTTATAGTTTATGATGTTAATTTTTTTACTGATAACTGAAATACTTACTATAAAAAATGTCTGGAAAAAAATACAAATACTTTTCATTTTACAGTAATTATTCCTTTCTGATGTTCCATAAAACACATTTAGAATCAAGTTCTGTACACTGGCTTTCCACATTACTGTTAACATATAATATTTAGTCAGTTGCACTTTGAACACTCTCGATAAAATTGGACTTCTGTAAAAAAAATATATTTATACATTACAAAAATACTGTAGTTAAGTATGAAAACTGAAAACTTTCCTTATAGAGGTCATTTTTTGCACTCAGTGATAAAAAAAACTTGCATATCACCATTATCAAACTTCAGTCATCATCACTGATGCACATCAAACAAACTGTATCTTACTGATTTAGTTCTGGTGATGTTTACAAATTCATTTCCATCAAATGCTAAAATAACTTACCATACAATTAGCTTCTTTTCCCAATTCTCTCATGCAGTAAGAATTCTAAATCAACGAATGGTAGCACTTATAGTCTCAATAACTTACCATACAATTAGCTTCTTTTCCCAATTCTCCCGTGCAGTAAGAATTCTAGATCAATGAATGGCAGTACTTATAGCCTCAATAACTTACCATACAATTAGCTTGTTTTCCCAATTCTCCCATGCAGTAAGAATTCTAGATCAACGAATGGTAGCACTTATAGCCTCAATAACTTACCATACAATTAGCTTCTTTTCCCAATTCTCCCGTGCAGTAAGAGTTCTAGATCAACGAATGGCAGCACTTATAGCCTCAATAACTTACCATACAATTAGCTTCTTTTCCCAATTCTCCCGTGCAGTAAGAATTCTAGATCAATGAATGGCAGTACTTATAGCCTCAATAACTTACCATACAATTAGCTTGTTTTCCTGATTCTCTTGTGCAGTAAGAATTCTTGATCAATGAATGGCAGCACTTTTAGCCTCAATAACTTACCATACAATTAGCTTCTTTTCCTGATTCTCCTGTGCAGTAAGAATTCTTGATCAATGAATGGCAGCACTTATAGCCCCAGTGACCATCCTTCCAATACGATCCCCATACACTCTGTTTAAAAATTATGCTTTAATGCAAACAAATTATATCAAGTTCTTTATGTGACAAAGCAAAACATGTTACTGGGTTCAAAATAACAGTAGGTATAAACTACAGAAAAAATTAAAACTGAACTATTAATAACAGTTAGAAAATTATTAAAACAACCACACAAGAAAAAATTAAAACTGAACTTTTAATAGCAGTTAGAAAATTATTACAGCAACCACACAAGAAAAAGGTAAAACTGAACTTCTAATAACAGTTAAAAAATTATTAAAACAACCACACAAGAAAATATTAAAACAACCACACAAGAAAATATTAAAACTGAACTACTAATAACAGTAAAATAAATTATTAAAACAACCACACAAGAAAAAATTAAAACTGAACTACTAATAACAGTTAGAAAATTATCAAAACAACCACACAAGAAAAAATTAAAAGTGACAGATATATAAATATAAATACTACTCCTAAACTGCCATGTGAGAAGACTTGACAGTGACAAAATGACGAGACAAGTATTCTATGCCAAAAATAGTGTACAAAAAGAAATATGCAGCACGAAATTAACAAGAAAGTTTTAAATAATTTAAACAAAACACAAAACATTAAAATTACTGATAAGTTGGTTGAATGTTAAACAGGTTATTCGATGGATTACAATAACACATACTCAGATTAGGTGTCAAGAACTTTTTTTTTAAATAAAAAACTAATTTATTAACATGAAATTGTTTCCAATTTTTAACTGAAGCACCCTAATGGTAATTGCATTATTTGTTTATTAGATCTGAGTAACAAGGTTAGCAAAAAAAAAGGAACAGATAATTTATACTTTATAAAGTAAAAAACTGGCAGATATATACATCTCTCAAGTACAAGTTTAGATATTACTAAAACCATTGTCATTTATCAAAGTGTATAAAGTAAACTGATTGAAATAAAACAATAATAAAAGATTATAAAAATATCAGACTTCAATGTCCATGAGGGCAAACAAAAATGATTTTTTTTTCGATAAATATTCTTACCGTGTGATTGTTTATGCAAACATCCTCTTCATACCTTGACCGAATTGTTCTCTTTTCAGCTCCCTTGATTACTTGCCCACGTCTGGAATATTCCACATACTCCTCCTACAGTATATTTAATCAAGTTAATCAACAGAATGTACAAAATATAGTCCAACAACAGAAATGTGTTTGATGTAAGGCTAAGCCAAGTCATCACAAGTTAATCAAGAGAATGTACAAAATACAGTCAAACAATAGAAATGTGTTTGATGTAAGCCATCATCATCATCAATCAAGTTAATCAAGAGAATGTACAAAATACAGTATAACAATATAAATGTGTTTGATGTAAGCCATCATCATCATAAATCAAGTTAATCAAGAGAATGTACAAAATATCGTCCAACAACAGAAATGTGTTTGATGTAAGCCATCATCATCATCATCAATCAAGTTAATCAAGAGAATGTACAAAATACAGTATAACAATAGAAATGTGTTTGATGTAAGCCATCATCATCAATCAAGTTAATCAAGAGAATATACAAAATATAGTCCAACAACAGAAATGTGTTTGATGTAAGGATAAGCCATCATCACAAGTTAATCAACAGAATATACCAAATACAGTCAAACAATAGAAATGTGTTTGATGTAAGGCTAAGCTGTCATCACAAGTTAATCAACAGAATATACAAAATATAGTCCAACAATAGAAATGTGTTTGATATAAGGCTAAGCCATCATCACAAGTTAATCAAGAGAATATACAAAATATAGTCCAACAATAGAAATATGTTTGATGTAAGGCTAAGCCATCATCATCATCAATCAAGTTAATCAAGAGAATATACAAAATATAGTCCAACAACAGAAATGTGTTTGATGTAAGGATAAGCCATCATCACAAGTTAATCAACAGAATATATCAAATACAGTCAAACAATAGAAATGTGTTTGATGTAAGGCTAAGCTGTCATCACAAGTTAATCAACAGATTGTACAAAAATACAGTCTAACAATAGAAATGTGTTTAATATAAGGCTAAGCCAAGTCATCACAAGTTAATCAAGAGAATATACAAAATATAGTCCAACAATAGAAATATGTTTGATGTAAGCCATCATCATCATCAATC